ACTAACTTTACAAGGAAGGATGCATTTCCGTCCCCAAGGTCTGTGTCCTTAGTGTTTAATAAGGCTCTGAATGGCTGTTCATGTCACAGGAGCCCTGGGCTGAGCATATGGGAACACTTGGCTGGAGGTTCTAGAGCAGGGTCCTAGGGACATCCATGCACTGTGAATGTATGCACATGTGTGAAGAGAGCACTCTGGAGTCAAAGTTTAAACTCTGAAGACATCTCTAGGCTTTTTTTTCTGTATGTTTCTCTGTATTTGGCTGCTTCCCTTGAACTCAGAGGGGCGGGTGTAATGAAGTGAACTGAAGCTGTGATGTTGAATTTCTCTTCTTAATCTCATAGCTGAGTTTTAGTCTCTGGTTGGCGCCTTTTCTTTCCACTGTTGGCAGTATTTTTCTGTTTATAGAAGAACCCTGGCCATAGGTAATGGGATCCAGAAAGCTAGCTCAAGAACCAGGGATAGATCCTGATCACAATGCCAGGGGCACCTCAAACAGACCCAGCTACGTTTGCAGAGGGTCTAGTCCGGTCCCATGCAGGTTCCACCGCTGTTGCTGTCCGTTTAAAGTTCCTGAGTTCCTATGAGCTTGGTTCAGTAGTCTCTGTAGACTTCCTCAGGGGGAGGGGCTTGATCCTGTCTCAACTGAATGTACCAGGCTTTGCTGTCCCCTCATGGGAGGACTTACCCTTTTGGAGGAGGGGAAAGGTGGGGGTGGGGGGTGGGGGGGGGTAGGGGGTGGGGCGTAGGGAAGTGGGGGAGTGGGGGAGTGGGGGGGAGCAGGAGGAGGGATGAGAGAGGGATTTGTGGTTGGTATGTAAAAAGGCTTGATGTTCCTGGTGTGCCTCTTGGTTCTGTTTTAGCTGAAGTTCACTTTTAAGCTGCTGGTTCTTCTCTATGAGCTCCTGTATCATGCTCTGCTGACATGTTGTTTCTTCCATCAACATTTTCAAATTCTGCCTCATTCTTTGTGATGACAGTGAAACATTTCACTATTAGGATAAGAATTTGTACTGTATCAAGCTGATAATAGAAAAATAAATAAATAAAATTTTAAAAAAGGGATAAAAATATTTTTAAATAAAAATAAATAAAAAGGAAATATGATAAAAAATATTTCTTGATCTACTCAAAAAAAAAAATCCTAGGAGTTTAGTTTCCTGTCACTTGAGATAGTTTACCATGAAATGTCCCAGAAGAGAGGGAGATAGATAGATAGATAGATAGATAGATAGATAGATAGATAGATGATAGATAGATGATAGATAGATAGATAGATAGAGGAAGGGGGAAGAGAGAGAGAGAAAGAGAGAGAGAGAGAAGGGTGAGAAAGAGGGAGGGAGAGAGAGGGAGAGAGAATGCCTAACAAAACAATACAACTTACTTCTGGGGAAACTGCTAAGGTCAAGAACCTGTGAGGTGAATCTGTGTGCATTAGAAGGCCACCGGATCCCTCATTTTCTGTCTCACCCTGTGCCAAGGAAGGCCAAGTGATAGAGTGTTGTGAGAATTAACTATTGAAACGTAATGATCTGCAAGCCAAAAGCCTGGGGCTTCCCTGCTATTACCCTATCCTTTCCCCCACACAGTCTGTCTCCACATTCCATTGCTGATACCCACAGTGTGTGTTCCCTGTCACTGTGATACAGTAACCTGGATACCCACAGTGTGTGTTCCCTGTCACTGTGATACAGTAACCTGGACACCCACAGTGTGTGTTCCCTGTCACTGTGATACAGTAACCTGGACACCCACAGTGTGTGTTCCCTGTCACTGTGATACAGTAACCTGGACACCCACAGTGTGTGTTCCCTCCCTGTCACTGTGATACAGTAACCTGGACACCCACAGTGTGTGTTCCCTGTCACTGTGATACAGTAACCTGGACACCCACAGTGTGTGTTCCCTGTCACTGTGATACAGTAACCTGGACACCCACAGTGTGTGTTCCCTGTCACTGTGATACAGTAACCTGGACACCCACAGTGTGTGTTCCCTGTCACTGTGATACAGTAACCTGGATACCCACAGTGTGTGTTCCCTGTCACTGTGATACAGTAACCTGGACACCCACAGTGTGTGTTCCCTGTCACTGTGATACAGTAACCTGGACACCCAGAGTGTGTGTTCCCTGTCACTGTGATACAGTAACCTGGACACCCACAGTGTGTGTTCCCTCCCTGTCACTGTGATACAGTAACCTGGATACCCACAGTGTGTGTTCCCTCCCTGTCACTGTGATACAGTAACCTGGACACCCACAGTGTGTGTTCCCTGTCACTGTGATACAGTAACCTGGACACCCACAGTGTGTGTTCCCTCCCTGTCACTGTGATACAGTAACCTGGACACCCACAGTGTGTGTTCCCTCCCTGTCACTGTGATACAGTAACCTGGATACCCACAGTGTGTGTTCCCTGTCACTGTGATACAGTAACCTGGACACCCACAGTGTGTGTTCCCTGTCACTGTGATACAGTAACCTGGCTAAAGCATCTGAAGGAAGCAGGGGTTTATCTTGGCTTGTGGAGTAAGGGGGAAGTTCATTGTGGTCGGGCAGGCATGGCAGTGGGAACTGTTATGACTGACTGTGGCCTGGGGATCCTGCTCACATCTGGACTGGCTTCCAGTTTGCTCAGGTTTTTTGTTTGTTTTGTTTTTGTTTGTTTTAGCCATCGGGTGTGCGCTCACTTTTGTCCACAGTTGCTCAAGCACAATTGGTGGGAAAGGATGTTGCTTTCGTGCCTTTGTTATCACTTGGGCATATCACATAGGTGCATTCTGGGTGCTTTAGCTCTTCCTCTGATTTACGTGTGTCTCTGCTACTGCTATCATACAGTCTTCATTAGTGTGGGAGGGTGATGCCTGCCATTTTTATTCTCTTTCAATTATTTATCTCCCTCTTCTGGCTTTTACTTTTACATACAGATGTTAGAGTACATCGATCAATGTTTATAAAGATTTGGCTGGATTCTTTTAAAAAATTATCCCTCCCTTCCTTCCTTCCTTCCTTCCTTCCTTCCTTCCTTCCTTCCTTCCTTCCTTCTCCTTTTTCTTTCCCATTGGCTTGTTACACTAGCATGTTTGGAACTGTGTTGAATGAGATGTAAGAACAGACATCCTTGTCTTGTTTTTGGTCCTAAAGGAAAGGATCGTGTGGTTCGAATGAAGCGTGATGTTGGCTGTGGACTTCCTGAGGATACCTTTGTGAGGTTGAGAAAGTTTCCTTTTATTTTTGTTCGTGAATGGGTGTAGAATTTTGCCGAATGATTTTTGGGTATCAGTTTATTTCCGTATCTATTGAGATGGCGGAGTCCATTGACTGACATTTGAATATTGGGCTACCTTTGCATTCTTGAGAAAACTCCTACTTTCTCAAGTAGGAGTTTTCTTTCATACGTTGCTTTCATATGTTGCTGGCTTGGATTTGCTGATTTTTGTTGTTGTTGTTTGAGAATTTTTGTGTTCACATCTTTGAGTGTTGTAGTGAAGTTATTTCCTCGAAGTCTGATATGACCAGTCATGAAGCTGAGTTCCTGTGAGAGCCCGCAAAAGCCCTTGGCCTGGAACACATGGCAAAACACAAACAGAACATTCCTGACATCTGCATCTATAGTAGCGGTGAGGGGGCTGCCAATTTCCCTCGTGGAAGTCGGGGAGGGGTTCACCAAACTGTCCATTTCCTTCTGCCTGTCAGCTTTGTGTGGTCGTTGGCAGATAAAGGTGGACTGGGGCTGAGGAATCTTTATTGGTACAGCCTTGTCGGTCATCAGCTTGGCTTGAACATTTTGGTAATGCCACTGCCCATGAGTCACTCATGCTCTTGTACATAATCCCCAACAGAATCTCTGGTTCAACAAGCAGGACTTGGGTGGAGTCCTTTCTCTGATATGTCAGTGACATGTTTGGAGTGAACAGATGCAGGTTTCTTCAGGGAAAGTCATGTGACAAGGACACAGTTTTCTTTTTCCTTCCTGCTGTTGGTGTTAGGGTACTCGCCCCATAAAATGATGTGGGAAGCGTTCTCTCCTCATTTACCTTCTGGAGTGTGTAAAATTTTGTGTCAAATTTTCCTTAAGAACTGGGTACAATTTCTTCATGAGACCACCTGGGTTGGATGTTGCCACATTTCAATTCTTTTAATTATCGTCAAGCTCAGGAGCTGGAGAGATGGGTCAGAGATTAAGAGCACTGGCTGCTCTTCCAGAGGACCTGAGTTCAATTCCGAGTAACCACATGGTGGCTCACAACCATCTGTAATGATTACCAAGCCTGTCTGTCTTTCTTATCTCGGGTGAATTTTGAAAGTTGTGGATCTTGGGGCTGGAGAGATGGCTCAGAGGTTAAGAGCACCCACTGCTCTTCCAGAGGTTCTGAGTTCAATTCCCAGCACCCACATGGTGGCTCACAACCTTCTGTAATGAGATCTGGTGCCCTCTTCTGTATACATAATAAATAAATAAATCTTTAAAAAAAAAAAAAAAAGAAAGTTGTGGATCTTGAGAAACAGTTCATTTCTCCTAATTCACCACATTTGTGTGAAGCTGGGTTCTGTTCCCATCACTTAAAGTTTGTCTGTCCTTTTCATTCCCAGCCCCAGCCCTGGTGTGCTGGCAGTGTTTATGTGTGTCTTGCTGTGGTCCTCACGGAGCCTGGAATGTTCATCTCTCCTCCATTCCTCATCGTCCCACACTGCATCCCAGTTTCTCTCTGACGTTCCTGATGGCTGTACTGCGGCCTGTGGGGTGGGTTCTATCATCTCACTCACCTGCTTTCATTGAGCGAGGTGACAGGCATCCTGTTCAGAACGGGAGCAGCTGGCACAAAGGCTTCTGGCCCAGTGAGGCTGGTGTGCCCAGAGGGTGGACACAAGCCTGGAGTCCTGCTCTGAGGACAGGGCTGTCATGAGGTGATGGAGGGACCAGGGCATGGCTCCTGGCCTGATGAAAAGGGCCCATTGGAGGACATTTGCAAGGAGACCTCTTTTGCTTTCTTATAAGAGCCTTCTCTCTCGACTTACGGAATGGAGGAAAAGGTGCCAGCAGCGTGAATCGGCCCCGAGACTGCCCCAAGGACAGGGGGAGGTGAGCGTGTGGGACTCAGCCTCATCTTTGGGTGACCTCTGTCCTGTCGGGCCTTTAGAACGACTTCAGCCCCAGTGAAGGGTCCAAGTCTCAGTGAGGAAGGACAGTGTGTATATAAATGGTTTCCTATCTCAGGCCTGGGGGCCAGCATATTCTTTCCAGCTCAGACATCCCCCCATCCTTCCTTCCTCCTCAGCTTCACATTTTCGTTATTTCGAGGTCAATTTCTTCCTTTTGGACCACCCTTCCACCTAGTATTCTATGCTTAGTGATATAATTGTTTGTAGTTTTTGTTGTTGTTATTCTTTTTTGAGCAATTTCTGGCATGGGATGTAGCCCTGTGCTTGAGTATGGGTTTAGCATGTTTGAAGCCCTGGGTTTGACTCCCAACACTGAAAAAAAAGGTAACCATTTAGATGAATATAAATATTTTCCCACACCTTTTAAAGAGTGGTGTAATTCGTAACAGTATGTTTGAGTTTTTATTAATTAATAAAAATTAATTAATTAATTTTTTCAAGACAGGGTTTCTCTGTGTAGCCCTAGCTGTCCTGGAACTTTCTGTAGACCAGATTGGCCTCAAACTCACAGAGATCTGCCTGCCTCTGCCTTCCAAGTGCTGGGATTAAAGGCGTGCACCACCACCACCCGGCATGTTTGGATTTTTAAAATACTATCCTAAACAGCACCGTTTTAGCCGTTATTGAAATGATACGTCTGTGCTTTCCAGTGTCGGGCTGATGCAGGCTCTTGAGCTCTTCGGCCCCCCAGCTCTTGGTGCTGTCCCTTGAGATAAAGGCAGAACAGCTTAAGTGCAGACGTCACACCTACAGGAATGTGAGGCTGAGGAAGGCAAGGCTGAGGTGTCCACACCCCATAGGCACCGTAATCCCAAACGAGAGAGAGTGGTGTTTCCACTCAGCCATCATGGAAAACGGGACAGTGGACGGCTACTGCATGTGGCATGCTGGCCAGCCTGTACCAGAGTGGTACAAGGGGGTTTTTGTCCCTATACTTGAGAAGTTCAATTGCTTGCTAGCTACAAGGCGGGTAGCTAAAAGGAGCAGGAAGGATGTGTTCACCGTGAAATGCATCTTACAGAGCAAGAAGATTATGGGTAAGACAAAGACCGATTCCCGGAGCAAAATATACCTTAGCTGTTTGTACCAGATGTATTCCACCTCCCTTGCTAACATGGAATTCTCCAGAAGGTAAGCTCCCCCTCCCCACCCCACCCCTGCTGAGACAAGGTCTTGGGGGCTCACTCTGTAGCCCAAACTCAAAATCACTCTGCCTTATCTTCCAGAAGGCTGGGTTTGTGGTGTGAACCACCATACTCAGGTTCCATTTTTCCCTGCCCTCCCCTCCCTTTCCTCCCCTCCTCTCCCATCCTCCCTTCCCCCACCCTCCCTCCTTCCCTTCCCTTTCCTTCCTTCCTCACAGTCTCCCACTAGACTCACTGCCCTGTGTCCATCCCTTGGTGTCTTCTTCTACGTCTGATGTCCCCTCATGGTCACATTCATTTTTCTTGTCACGTAGACACTGAAGAACTGTCACTACCAAACAGCCTTCAAGCTGCCTCCTAGAAAAGGAAGAGCCATACAATCCAATCCTGAGGGAGAACCTGGTGTGCGATAAGAGGGGGGAGAAGGCTCTGCTGCCCTGTGAGGCTGTGAAGGAACATGGAAAGAAGGCAGAGGCGAGGCAGGGGATTCATCACCTACTCAGGGCTGGGGTCACTGGAGCTCCTCGGCGTGAGCTTGAATCTAGTACCCGCTCCAGCAATGAGTACTTCCTAGATAGTAGGAGGTTAGCCGGACGTCCGTGTGCACTGCCATGGCCTCAGTGTGTACCATTTCCTAGTGACCACACTGTTAAGAGGGGTGGGCAGGTGTGAGATCAACATGAACAACAACACATAGTGACAGACAAGGCAGATGTAAAGTGTGTGTGTGTGTGTGTGTGTGTGTGTGTGTGTGTGTGTGTGTATACCACTGTAATGATGGCAGAGACGGCCTCTGCATGTGTTGTATGTACTTTTCTGTAACAGCATGGAAATGTGGGCATTACCCTCACTTCCTCCAAACTGACCAAGGACACAGTGAACCCCAGTGTATGGGTCTAGGACCTGGCCTGAGGTTGCCACCTAGGAGCTGAACTTGGGCAGTCTGACTCTGGCCTGCCCTGTGAGCTCAAGGTGGATAAAACAGGCTGGGGGACTGCAGGCCGTGCAGGTGTCCATGACAGATAGAGAGCGCCCTTCACTCAAAGTCCACAGAGGCCTTCCAGAAACTAGGATGGATTGAGGCGGTAGTCTTCCTCAAGGTATTCAAAACATGCATCCAATCCGTCAAAATGTCAGAAGGTGGTTCTCCAGGAGACCAAGTTCTTTTCCAGTCAGAGGCGCTAGCGAATGGAGGCATGCCCTCCCCACCCTCTGGGAAATCTGCTCTCTCACCGCTAGGGTGTTTCCCATGAGACATTTAACAGACCATACACCTGGGAGAATTCTGGTGGCCAAGCTGCTGGCTGGTCATTTGTGGGGTGGTGGGTGGTGTCGGAGGAGTGTTTCCCTCATTTAGGGACCAATTCTGGCCCGCTATTAGCATTTGAATCGGGCAGCCGAGCTGTTTTGATTGAATAGAGAAGGCAAGCCTTTGTTGTTGCAATTTAAGGAGTAAGTTGTTCCCTGGTCTCCTTTAATCAGCTGGAATGGGGGAAATGTCAATGGCTGCCTGTCTGGGCTGAGAATGCACAAGGCCCACCTCTAAAGCCCCTTCCGTGGGAGCCCTGGACCCAGAAGCACTTGGTATCGCTCCCTGCCTGCTGCTGTCCTCTCCCTCAGAATTTCTTTAGTGCCTTCAGAGGGATCTCTTTGTCTGGATGAAACCAACCCACATAATTATGGAAACACAGAAGGTCCAGGTGGTCGAGTCAGCCCATTGCTGCCCATTCCCCACATGCAAGGGCCAAGGACAGGCGGCCACTTCCGGGATGATATTCAAATAACTTGAAGCTCACAGTGCACTGGGTGAGAGACCCCTTCAAGGGCATGTTTATACAGCATTTTGCAGTATTTAATTTACATGACCTGGAAGTGTAAATTACTTTTATTACTTTAGTAAGTAGCAAAAGCTTCCAAGTTTTAGGTTAAAAAGACACAAGGTTAAGTTTTCAAAATTCCTCCATTTTCTTCCTTTTATCTGAAATTGGCACCATGGTTTATATTTTTTCTCTTTCTCTCTCTCTCTCTCTTTTTTTTTTTTTTTTTGGTTTTTCGAGACAGGGTCTCTCTGTGTAGCTTTGCGCCTTTCCTGGAACTCACTTGGTAGTCCAGGCTGGCCTCGAACTCACAGAGATCCGCCTGGCTCTGCCTCCCGAGTGCTGGGATTAAAGGCGTGCGCCACCACTGCCCGGCCTCTTTCTCTCTCTTTATCTCTTCCTTCCTTCCTTCTTTTTATTTTTATTTTTTCAAGACAGGGTCTCTCTGTGTAGCCCTGGCTGTCCCGTCCACTTGCTCTGTAGACCAGGCTGGTCTTGAACTCAGAGATCTGCCTGCCTCTGCCTCCGGAGTGCAGGGATTAAAGGTGTGTGCCACCACTGTGCACATAGGGACATAAAGATTGGTGATTCCTGAAAAAGGAGGTGACTCCCACTGAGGGAAAAACCTCCTAGGAAGTTGCCGTTTGTGGCAGTCACAGCTCATTTGGCATCTGGTCTGCTCTGGGTGGCCCACTTCTTTGCCTCAGATGTTCCCTAGGCCTGCATCAAGTATGCCTCTCTCTGCTCTTCCTGCTCTCCTTGCCCTACTCCCCCGGAAATGGGAGATGGCCTCCCTCTGAGACCGGCTTCAGCCACACCTCTCCGGGAGGCCTTGTGTGAGAGAGAGCCTTCTCCCACCCACCCCTGGCTCACACAGAGCCTGTAACCCTGGGGCTCCCAAGTTCCTTCCTTGAGTTGCATTCTCCAACTGTTGGAGTTCCCTCGGTGACTCAAAGGAGCCAGCCAGGGTCCTAATTAGTGAGCATCCTCCCACAGGCCGGACTTCTCCAAGGAAAGCAGTTTGTCAAACAGCTGTTCTGACCTGATAAAAGACTGTTTGCTGTATCCTGTGTACAAAGACAGATGTCACCTGTCCTGTCCTTAGCCCAGCAGAATCCAGCCCAGATTGGCTTGCCTTTGCTCCCTGTGTCATCCCCCCCCCCTCCCCCCGCTGTGCTGTGAGCTCAGCTGAGTCGCTTGGGCATGGGTGGCCCACTTCTTTGCCTCAGATGTTCTGGGCACCCCAGGAGCAGCACAGAAGTCAATGAAAAGCACCCCCAGGGCCTTATCCATGGCCCAACTCCTCACCCAACTAACACAGTGTGGTTATTTATTGGTTCTGGAACCTATGACCTCAAAAACAGCCCCAGGACCTGGCAGGGTGACATACAGGCCTCAAATCTCAGCACTCTAGAAGCAGAAGCAGGCAGATCTCTGTGAGTTTGTGGCCAGCTTGGTCTACAGAGCTAGTACTAGGCCAGCTGGGGTGATATAATAAGACCTTGTCTCAAAAAACAGACAGAGATAGTTCCAGTACAGTCACCCCATATTCTCACTGAACTGTTGTGAGAACTCAGTAAGAGCCCCCCGGGGGACTGTTAATGGAGGCATGTTCCTGAGCTACACAATGAAGTCTATACTTTAACCTGAGACAGGGCCAAGGTTTATTCAAGGTCTCCTGGTTTTTAGGGCTAGCTGAAGATAACAAGGAAATTCCCTACCATGCATATATGCACATACACACATGCATACACACTCATACATTCCCATGCATACACACATGCACACACACACTCACACGCACATGCATGTGCACACAGACACACAGTGTCCCAAGTATCTGTGCTCAGCACACAGGTGAGGTTACACTGAGTGCCAGGTGCACCTTCATGATCAGAAGTGTGTGCAGGGCACATGTAACTGTGAGCATCTTCATGAGGACAGACAGCCCTCATCACTCATTGTAGAGCCGAAGCTAGGCTCCGAGAAGCCAGTAGGGTTCATTAAAGAATACAGCCAGCCACCCTTCAGAGGGCACAATCCTACAAGCCTGTTCCAGGAGACTTCCCTCCAGCACAGTGTGCTCCTTCAACTGCAGGCTCCCTGGGAGTAAGCCTGTTTTTAGGCCAAACTTTTATTTTGAATACACGGTAAGAGCCTCCTCTGAAGTTCTGCTACTTGTCCAGCATAACTGTGCTGCGTGAGAGCTGTCCTGTCATTGTGGCCTCCTGCAGGATGACCCAGCAGCTGAGGGCGCCCAGCCTAAGGACATGGAGGGCTTGTGGCCACGGCCTCTGTATACTCAAGGGGTGCTGAGCCTCACGGCTTCCCTGTGTTTGCTTTTCTCTATTTGGTGCCACCCGGGCAGACTGCTGGAGAGAGACGGCCGCTTTGCCGACGCGCACGCTGAGCACAGGGCTGGAAGCCTGGTCAGTGTCCTGTGGGCCCAGAGACAGCACCCAAGGTGTCTTGTCCTGCTCGGACATAGATTTGGGAGGTGCAGAGGGTGCTGGGACAGGGTGTACACTGTCTCCTGGCTGCAAGATCCAGTCCATTCTCACTGAACTGTGATTCAAACCAGGACCCTATGCGGTGGCGGCCGGGGACAGAAAGGTCCGTCTGGGTTGCCGTGAAGTAAAGTCTTAGGTCTGAGACTGGAAACGTAGCCAGGTTAATAGATGCTTGCCCAGCATGCAGGAAACCTTGGGCTCAAACCCCAGCATCGTATAAATGGGGCATGGTGGCACATACCTGTAATCTTAGCACTTGGGAGGTAGAGGCAGGAAAATTGAGAGTTCGGAGTCGCTCCTAGCTAGGCAGTGAGTTTGAGGCCAACCCTGGCTACCTGAGGACTCTGTCTCAAAAGAAAATGGCCAAGTCCAACTTAAAAACAGGAAAGCCCAAACCACCCCGGACCTTCCTCTGCTCTTTCCCTTGTAACACTGGGTCTGATGTGGTGGCCTGGAGGAAGAGTGACAGAGCAGAGAGGGACTCATGTAGCAAGCATGAGGTGGGAGGCGGGGGGTGGGGGGGGGGATCCCCAGTGGTAGTTCTTGGTGATAAGGTATGATTTTCTAAAGTGGCACAATTTAGATGGTGGAACATTTAAACTATGAGTGTACATGTTAACGATCATTACTCAGCACCCCCAATTCTGGTCTCTAACCCATTTCTCATGTTCCAATGACAACAAAATGAAAGTGTTCTTTCCTTTCCAAGCTGGATTTCATGGTCCCAAGTAGGCACACGCAGGCAGACGCTCCACCCAAAGAGACGGGGATGGAGGACCCCCTGGTCCCTGGCCAGCGGCTTCAAGCACCACCTGCACTCCGATTTCTCAAGTGCCGGAGCCCAGAAAGTCCACAGAGAAGTTCCCGCTTGAGGACAGGAAGACACCAAGTGACCCTGTGTGGCAGGTGAGTTATCAAAATAATGATAATGGCCCCGGGGGACGGCTCAGCAGGCAGAGGCGCTTGCTGCCAAGCTTGACGACCTGAGATCCCTGAGACCCCTATGGCGGAAGAAAACCACTTCTTACAAGTTGCCCTCTGACTCCCACATGTACCTGTGCGTGTGTGTGTGTGTGTGTGTGTGTGTGTGTGTGTGTGTGCGCACACGCACACACGCACACACACAATAAATAAACGTGGGAAAAATAGGTCAGAAACAACTCACCCGCAGCAAATGGGTAAACACAGAACTATACCATGGCATTAGAAGAATTTGGCAGTGGAGGGCTGAAAACTGAGAAATAAGTAATTGGGATTTCACCCACAGGATTCCCACTTTGGGTCTCTGCCAGTCCCAGACCACTTTCTCCACAGTCCTTCCCCGGGCCCCTGGGTGGGGCAGGTGCCTCTCTCCGCTGCCTCCAGACTCCATCATCCCGAGTCAGAGGGTGTGCCCTGCCATCTTCTGCCTGCCACACCCTGCTCCTGTGGGACACTCCGGCAAAGTCCTCTTCGTTAGTTTTATTTCATTTAACTGTTTTTGAAGTGCTGGAGGTTGAACCTAGGGTCTTGCACATGTCAGACAAACACTGTCCCCTGGAGCTCTCCCCCCGGTCTGCAGTTTACCTTCTGGACACGGCCCCTCCCTGCTCCCCGCTGTGAGGCTGAGGGGCATGGCTGGTGGTGTGTGTTGACACAGGTGGGCCCAGCTGTGCTTTCTTGGCTGATCTCGGTGAAGCTCAGTCTGTTTCATCTGTACTGTGGTGTACTCGGAGGACTCAGTTTAGTGACGTGAGGGAGGCATTCTCCCTCACGTATGTCCGAGGTGGCACCAGCTCTTTAAATGTCCTGTCCATGTATGTATCAGTCGTGACTCATGTCTAGTCCATACCCAGCTTCTCATTCCCCTGAGAAGAATTTCCTAAGGGGGGAATGGAAGGCCGCCATTAGCTAGTCCTCGCCGGTCATGCTGGGTTAGATCTTCCCTAGGTGTGGACACTTGTGTAAGACAGCAAGTCACATGGAGCTTCAGGCTTAGGGTTATTCACTAAGTGAACGCCGTCCGGCCAAATGCTTCCTGTGCTGGTGAGCCTGCCTCTAACAAGGAGAAGCCCATTCTCAGCCTGGCCCCTGGTGCCATCTGATGCCCTGCAGAGTGAGTTTGTGGATGGCCATGTCTGCCTGCACTCTAGCTTGGTAAAGCCTTCCATCAGGGCATCTCTCCAGTCATCTGTTACTTTGGTAATACATGTCCATTTTTTTTTTCTGTTAGAAATCCTTTCTAGATCGAGTGCAATGGAGAGAACTGATATTTCAGCCAACTTCCTTGTATCCTAGAATGAAGCTATTATTCACCATCTTATCCTTAAGAAGTAGTCTGCCAGGGCTGGAGTGATGGCTCAGTGATTAAGAGCACTCTTTGTAGATGAACCCAAGTTCAACTCCCAACACTCACAGTTATCCATAATCCCTTTCCCCAAGAATCAGATGCCCCTCTTCTGACCACTGAGGACACTAAGCATGCACATGGGGCACACACATGCAGGTAAAACATTCAGATACATAAAATAAAGCTAAAAAAATTAATATAGCTTCCTAGCCTTATGATTTCAGACAGCCCAGGAGAGTCTCAAATGCTGCTAAGACCCTGGCACCATGCAGGTGCTGAGGGGTGAGGGTCAGTGCTCCTGTCCATTCTAGAGCCACCCTGAATTCTGTCCTCCCAAGTGACACAGATGCCATTCTTGTGGGCTCGTTTGCAGCACCATGGCTGAGGAAAGGCAGGGCCAGAGTCGTTCCACTCAGCTGCCCGAATTTGCTAGTGAATCATCCTCCAGTACCCATCTCTAGGAGATCTCCAGATGCTACCTGTACAAAGTGATATTAAGTTTAAGACAACACAGCTGGCGGGAAAATTCTCTCATTTCTTTGCATTTGCATGCAAGTTCCAGGACACTTGATATTTTCACATACACATACACACAGACACAGACACACACACACACAGACATTCATGCAGGCACACACATGCAGACACACTTACACGCATACACTCACGAAGAGACCCAGACACCAACTCATGAGGAGACAGACACATATGCAGTCACACAGATACATACAGACACACACACGCCAACAAACATATATACAGACACATACACATGCAGACATGCACACACACACACACACACACACACACACACACACACACACACACACACTCAGAGACCCAGACACTAACAGACACATGAAGAGACACACACAGACACACATACAGATACACATAGACACACACACATAAAAACACACACACAAACACACTTCCACACACTGACACCCACACCCACATGTGCACACACATGCCCTTGCTATTTGCCTTGCTGTTTGCTTCTGTTTCTCTGATAGTGACCTTTGTTGAGGATTGGAAGAAGGATCTAGAAGCAGGTATACTGTCCTAATCAGCATCTTTGACTCTGCCAAGATCGTGACATTGAGCACAGAATGCCAAGCCAGACTTTTATCTAATTTGTTTCAAAATCATAGAGACTGGCCCTGTGATTTTGTTCATGGTCAATTCCAGTTTGTCCTAAAATAGCCTCATGGATTCAAGTTACTCAGAAAGAAGTTAGAGATAGTCTGTGACTGATATTAGAGATAGTCTGTGACTGATACATTCTCCATGCCAGATCCACCAAGAAAGCAATGCTTTGAGTCCAGTGAGAGGAAACTTTCTGGGAGTGAGAAAGTCTCATAGCCTCGTGTGTGTGTGTGTGTGTGTGTGTGTGTGTGTGTGTGTGTGTGTGTGTGTGTGAGAGAGAGAGAGAGAGAGAGAGAGAGAGAGAGAGAGAGAGAGAGAGAGAGAGAGAGAGAGAGAAACCCCCTTAAAACACACCACATATGATTGTGGATATGATTGTCTTGGAGAAAGGACTCACATAGATTTTTTAAAAAATTATGGTATTGACAGGGCTGGAGAGATGGTTCCACAGTGGAGAGCACAGGCTACTATTCCAGAGGACCCAGGTTCGATTCCCGGCATCCACAGGGTAGTCCACAACTGCCTGTAACTCTAGTTCCAGGGGATCCAGTGCCTCCTTCTGGCCTCCATGGGCATTGCATGCATACGGTACACAGACACGTAGGCAGGCAAATTGTTCACACACATTAAAATTTAAAACTGGGCTGGAGAGATGGCTCACTCACTGGTTAAGAGCATTCGCTGCTCTTCCAGAGGTCCTGAGTTCAATTCCCAGTAACTACATGGTGGCTCACAACCATCTATAATGGGATCTGATGCCCTCTTCTGTCATCCAGGCAGACCACTCACTCACACCTAAAACAAACAAACATTACACAGAGAAACCCTGTCTTGAAAAACAAACAAGCAAAAATTTTAAATTATAATGAGGAAGCCTGTGATCCAAAAAAAAAGGTTAACATCATGCAGATGAATGAAATGGAAAAAAACCCCTTGTATTTGCAGGAAAAAAAGTCTGTACTCGTGTTAACACCATTGGAGTTTATGCTCAGAAAACAATCTGAATGCCATCTGTAAGATAATCTCTTTCCTTTAGGAGCAAGCTTTCAGATCACGTGAGGGGCAAGCTTGCTCCTGCCGGGATGCCCACAGACCCCAGGCTTACAGCACCCCTGACCCTGGAACACGTGATCCAGACCCATCCTGTGCTGGTAGGCAACTGTTTTCTCTCTGCCTGTGCTGGGTGGAGGCTGTGGCTCTCCATGAGATCAAAGGACGGATGAGAGCAGGAGATGGAGGAGGGATGGGAGGTGGGGCAGAGCAGGATGCTGGCAAGTGTGAGATTTCTGGCCAGCAGCCCAGAGATGAAGTATGGGAGATGTCAGGACAGTGGTAGGCACTGGAGAGGGGTGAATAGATTTCTAATTCCCTGATGAGCTGGAGCACATAAACTATGGGTGAATGTTAAGAAAGTAGTCATGGCGTAACCCTCAGAGTTTATCTATTCTATGAACGATGAAAGAGGTCATGTAAATATGTTTTTTTTTCTTTCTTTCTTTCATTCATTGTAGGAGGCTAAGACAGCATGTCGATACTGGGTGAACTATGTGGATGAAGAATAAGATTTTTATATGGTTACTAGATGAAAAAATCCAAACAGGAAATGACAGCTTTCTTTTCCTTTGGTTCAACATTATGATAAGCAGTGAGGTTGACATCCAGTAAAGATGTGCGTACCTGATATGAGATACCTGGCATGGCACTTCATTCTTTCATTATAAAAGCGACGTCATCATGCAGAACCCAGAACCGTGAGTTCAGATGATGGTGATGGCCAAGCATAGTCATCGTCAGCATCGCTGGGCAGACTTAAAAATGAGGCTTCAGCTGGTGGCGCTTCAGTTCTGCTGGCCCAGGGTCCTTCTGCCTGGTGCTCTCTTTGCAACACCTTAAGTCAAATAAGCCTGCTTTCTTTCTTAAAAATAATTAAAAAAAAAAAGCTTTCCAATTATGAGTGAGCATAAGGCAGTAGGAAATTGAATCAAAGGAGTTTGATGAAGTGAAATTAGCTTTATAGGGTAGACAAATATAATTAATGGAAGTAGTATCTGACAAGTGGTTGGATTAGGCGTACCTGAAGACAGAATGCAGGAACTAGACAGGCCAAAGATTTGATGGGATGTTTGGCGCTGGCAGACTAAGTGCTGGCCTTACTAGGCTGGTGGAGTTTAATCCCAGGCCCAGCAGCAATGAGGGAGAGGCTGTGGAAGGTGCAGTACTTGAAAAGAAAGTATTTCTAGAACTGGTGGAAAGGATCAACCCTCAGATTTAGGGACCCAAAGAATCACCAACACTAGTTAAAAAAAAAAAAAAAAAAAAAGGCACCAGCTGGGGATGTGGCTCAGTGGGAGAGTGCTTGACTTGCATGCTCAAGTCCCTGGGTTCAGTACCCAGCACTTAAATAATAATAATAATAATAATAATAATAATAATAATAATAATAGTAATATAGGGGGATGTAGAGGTGGCTCAGCACTTAAGAGCACTGGCTGCTCTAGCAGAAGACCTGGGTTCAATCCCCAGAACCTACATGATGGTTCACAATTGTGGGTGACTCCAGTGTCAGGGGACCCGAGCCCCGCTTCTGACTTCTGTGGGCACTGTGTGATGGTGTACAGACATACATGCAAGCAAAACTCCTGTACACATAAAAGATGAAAAGGAGATTTTAAAAAGAATAGTTAAAAAAAAAGTTCAGCCAGGTGTAGGGTGCACACCTTTAATCTCAACACTTGGGAGGCGGGGGCAAGTGGATCCCTCTGAGTTTGCGGTGAGCCTGGTCTACATAGTGAGACCCTTTCTCAAAAAAAAAAAAAAAAAAAAAAAAAAAAAAAAAAAGGAGATCCTCAAAGGAGCCAAAGAAAAAGCAGATTTCACCTCTCACCAAGGTGTGACACCCAAAGGCAGGCAGCTCCCTAGTGGGGATGACAAGCAGATTCTTAGAGGGTCATTTTAACAGTAAGTAGAGCCAGGGCAGGGTGGCTCACACCTTTAATCCCAGTACTGAGAGGCAGAGTCAGGTGGATCTCTGTGAGTCCCGGGCCAGCCTGGTCTATAGAGCATTCCAGGACAACCAGGGCTACACAGAGAAACCCCATCTCAAAAAACCAAACCAAACCAACAAAAAGAAGCGGAAACCTTTAGTGGCCCTGTAACAATTAACTAAACCAAGTCCACCACTTATAAACCTTTAGTGGCCCTGTAACAATTAACTAAGCCAAGTCCACCACTTACAAACCTCCCTGAAAGAAAAGAAGAAACTATTAGACACATTGGTTCAGCTGGCCGAGTCTGCGGGCGTGTAAGGAGGAACAGCATTGAATGCAAATATAAATTCTCTAGAAAAAGGGCCAAAGGGTCTGACCTCACTGGTCCTCCTTCACAAGGCCAGAGCTAGGCAGTTGTCACTCAAGACACAGAGGCAACACTCATAGAGACACAGCGACAAATCCACTCTAGTAACATTCTGTTCATCTCAGCAACTCCTCCCCACAGTAAACACAACAGCAAACGATGAAAAGGAGGGAAAATCTTGAACTAATCATATGTCTAAATAAACATGTATCAGAAATGGTGTGTTTCACAGCGAGATAGCCAGCCTTTTCTTTTGAGGTTTAGACAACACGAGGATCCCTTCATTTCCACTCCCATGAGATATTATACCGGAAGCTTGACCCACAAAAGGTGGAAAATGTGTAACTCTACCATCTTTTAGGTTTTCATTGTATTCTATGTGTATAGGTTTCTGTGTACACATGCATACAGTGCCCGAGGAGGCGGAGTGTTGGGTCCCCTGGAACAGTACTTACAGATGGTTGTGAGCTGCTGTGGAGGGGCAGAGAGTTGAACCTGGGTCCTCTGGAAGAGCAGCCAGTGTTCTTACTCTCTGAGCCGTTTCTCCAGCTCAATCCTATATGGTTTAAATGCTACAAGAAAACTTAAGCTTTGGTTTGTTTGTTTGTTTGTTTGTTTTGGTTTTGGTTTTTCAAGATTTACCTGCCTCCAGAGTGCTGGGATTAAATGTGTGTGATACCACACCCAGCTAATTTAGTTGTGCTTAATTATTGCAAACATTTCTTCTATGAGTTAATAGAATTTTAAAAGAAGATTTAACTGTTAAGTGTGTGTGTGTGTGTGTGTGTGTGTGTGTGTGTGTGTTTGGCTAAACATGTCCATTCTCATGGTGCTGGAGTTCCAGGTGGCTGTAAACTGGGGACTGTGTGGGTGCTGGGAACCAGAGTTGGGTCTTCTGCAAGAACACTGAACCACTGAGCCATCTCTCCAGCCCAGCAATAGAATGGTAAAGACACTTGAATAAGAAGGTCATAAAGTTCCTTCATTCCATTGGTGACAAGTATGTTAAGTATAGCTACCATGTCACTAGCATAATAATAATATTCATGAGATGTGTGTGTGTGTGTGTGTGTGTGTGTGTGTGTGTGTGTGTGAGAGAGAGAGAGAGAGAGAGAGAGAGAGAGAGAGAGAGAGAGAGAGAGAGAGAGAGAGAGTATATCTTAGCTTTTAGGGTAGTTGAGATGGGAGAATCTTTTGAGCCTATGAGTTCAAGACCAGCCTGGTCAACATAATGATATTGAGGAAAAAAAGACAGAAGAAACGAGCCATGAAGGAGAGGCAGGAGGAAGGAGAAGTGGAGGAAGGAAGGAAAGGAAGGCAGGCTACCACTTTCCTTATCAGCCAGAGAACGAGAAAAAGAAGAGTTCTAAGTAAACCCTGCCCATTAGCACTATTCTAAACATTAGAGATCTGTGTACACAGTGTGGTCTCAGAAGGCTGAAGACAAGCTGAAACTATTTATGCAAGTTAAGGATCCCTCAGCTAAAATGCTTGTGACCAGAAGTATTTAAGACTTCAGTGTCTTTCAGATTTTGGAATATTTGTATAGACTTTAATGTTTGAACATCTCTCAAGCCCCAAAATCTGTCACTTAAATCCCTTGTAACCAGGGATAGAGCCAAGTATTAAGACTGTCTCAATGGTTAAGAGCATTTCTTTCTCTTGCAGAGGACCCAGGATGAATTCTCAGCACCCACATGATGGCTCACAACCATCCATAACACCAGTTTCAGGGTGTCTGATGCCCTCTTCTGACCTCCCTGGTCACTACACATGTGATACATGCACTTGGGTACATGCAGGCAGAATACTCAAACACATAAATAAAATAAAAATATCTAAAAGCAACGACAAAAAACCCCATCTTGCAACCCAGTTAGAGATGCTGAGTGTCAGGCGCAGGAATGGCAGCTGGATAGGGAAGCAAAGCTAATCCTGCCCCTCACTTCACTGCACTCTCCTAATCCTGTTTCGGAAGGACTCTGGGTCCCTAGCTGGCATGGAGCTCGAGTTCCACAGTTACTAGTGGATTTCAAAGTGGGAGGGGTGACCCGATGCCCTCTTTGAACTTTTATCCATTTGTTGTGTGGTCATCAACTCAGGGACCAACTTCCAGAAGACGTTCAAAACTGGATTAAAGCTGAAGCCGTCGGGGCTGGGGGCATGGTTCAGAGGTTAAGAACACTGACTGCTCTTCCAAGGGGACTGGGTTTGATCCCCAGCACCTCTGGCAGCTCATAACTGTATGTCACTCTAGTTTCAGGGGATCCAAAGCCCTCCTCTGGGTCGTGAGTTTGATTCCTGGAGTTCACGTGCCAGAAAGAGAGAACTGATTCCCATAAATTGTCCTCCCACCTCTGTGTGAGTGCTGTGGAACATGTGTGCTCCCACACATAAATACACACTTGCCCACATGTGCATATAATGTAATATATACATACACACACACATATATATACATATATATATATATATATATATATACGTGTATATATATGGTCTGATTATGTAGCTCTGGCAGATTGGAACTGGCTATGTAGACCAGACTTAGTGTCAAACTCATAAAGATCTGCCTCCTCTGTGCTACCATGACTGGCAAAAAAAAAAAAAAAAAAAAAAACAATTAAAAAAAATCTTGGGGGCCTGGAGAGATTGTCCCATGACTGTTCTTCCAGAGGACCTGTGCTGGACACCCAAACTTTCATGGCAGCTCACAGCTGTCTGTATTTCCAGTTCCAGGGGATCTGGACCTTTTCTGGCCTCCACAGACACTAGGCATGTAAGTGGTACACAGACAGATTTTCAGGGAAAACACTCATACATATAAAAATAATATATTTTTTTTCTTCAAAAATGAAGTCTTAGGCCATCATACCTACTTCTTTTGTGTGTTTGTGGAGGGCAAGGTAGCTTAGTGGATACAGGCTCTTGATGCCAAGTTTGATGACCTGGATTTGATCCCAGGAGTCCACAGGTTAGAAAGAGTGAACCAGCTCTTACAAGTTGTCCTCTGAACATATATTCTTGCACACACAACTTTTCTAGAGGACCTGCGTTCAGTTCCTAATATCTATATTCATATCAGATAGCTCAAAACTGCCTGTAACTCCAGCTCTAGGGAAATCTGAGGCCTCTGGCTTCTGTAGGCACCTGCATGCGCTCGTGCACACACACAGACACACACAATTACAAAATAAAAGCCATTAGGAGAGAAGACAGATTTTCCTGCGGATGATCTCGTCTGGACTATGTACTGTTAGTTTTTTGTCAACTTGACACAAGTTAGGGTCATTGAAGAGGGGGGAACCTCAACTGAGAAAATGCTTCCGTAAGATTGGTCTGTGGGCACACCTATAGTGCACTTTCTTGATTAATGATTGATGTGGGATGGGGCTGGAGAGATGGCTCAGAGGTTAAGAGCACTGACTGTTGTTCCAGAGGTCCTGAGTTCAATTCCCAGCAGTCACATGATGGTTTACAACCATCTGTAATGAAATCTGGTGCCCTCTTCCGTCATGCAGGAATGCAGGCAGAAAACTGTATGCATAACAAATAAAAAAAATAAAAAAAAAGATTGATGTGGGAGCATGGTGCTACCTTGGGCTGGTGGTCCTGGCTGAGAAAGTCATGTAGGAGGAAGCCATTAAAGAACGCTCCTCCGAGGTCCCTGCTTCAGTTCCTGAACTGGCCTTCTGGATGATGGGAGTACAAGCTGCAAGTGAAACAAACCATCTTCCCAATTTGCTTTTTGCCCTGGTGATTTATCACAGCAATAGAAACCCTAACGAAGGTAGAAATTGGTACAAAGAGCAGGGTGTTGCTGCAGGCGACTGATGTGGCTATGTGTTTTGGGGAGGATTATGGTGGCATTTGAACTTTGGGCTAGAAAAGCCATTGAGTTCTCAGAGCTCAGTGGGCTGGCTATTGTGTGGGATCTTAGATGATAAGAGTGTGGAGAGTAATGCAGAGGATGGAGGGCTGGCTTGTGAAGTTTCGGAGGGAAGCAAAGCAGACTCGATTCAGGCTACTTATGAGATATTTGCTTTTCTTTTTCTTTCTTTCTTTCTTTTTCTTTTTCTTTTTTTTGAGACAGGGTTTCTCTGTGTAGCTTTGTGCCTTTCCTGGAACTCACTTTGTAGACTAGGCTGGCCTCGAACTCACAGAGATCTGCCTGGCTCTGCCTCCCGAGTGCTGGGATTAAAGGCGTGCGCCGCCGCCGCCACCCACCGCCCGGGGAGATATTTTGAATTAAGATTCTGTGGTTCAGGTCAGCTGGGCTGAAGGACCAGTTATGATTAAGAAGAAGCCAACATCATTGAGGTTGATGTTCCGGGAATTGTTTCTTTGGGGACAGTACAGACCATGTTTTTTTCTTTTCTTTTTTTTTTTTTAATTTAAGGAGTCACTGGGCATGATGGGAAATGCCTTTAATTGCAGCACTCAGGAGGCAGTAGCAGTTCAAGGCCAACCTGGTCTACATAGTGAGTTTCGGGCTAGCCTGGTGTTACATAGTGGGACCTTGTCTAAACAAACAAACAAACAAACAAACAAACAAGCAAACAAGTCAAGTCCATCAGCTTTGTCTTCTCCGGGTCAAATTCCTTTTGTAACTAGTTGAGAGAATGTAGTGAGTGGTGCGTGGGGCAAGAGAAAAAAACAAAACAAAACCTTGTATCTATTTTCTGTAGACTTATTTTAGTGGAAACAAAGTATTTTTAAACCAAGACAAGTTAGAAAGCAAAACCTCCTCTCACTTTCCATTCTTCTCTGTAAGCTTTAGCTGCCTTATCTGTAGAAAACAACCGTGGAGTTGTTTTGTCTGCCTGACCGGTGTACATACTCCCCTGCATACAATAGGCTTTCTTGCAGTCTGAGGTAGGACTGGGGTCTGGAAGCCTGAGTGTGGATCATCGAATGTGCTAATTCTGACTTCCAACTGGGCTTTCCTCTGGGCTCTTCAGCTTGCTGGAGTCTGGTGGTGGGAGCCACCGATTCGGAATCTGTTCTCAGAAGTGTGTTAAGAGTCCGCGTCCCCATTTTTATCAGTCTTGCCCTTGATATGTGGGGAGATTTATTTTAACTCCCCTTCTTCCTGCAGCCAAGCCCCCACCCCCCACCCGGGGCATTCGCTACCTTTCCACCTTTCCGGTCCTTCCTGTTGGCTAGCTGTCAGCAGGTGGGCACAGCCTCCTCCTTCACACCCACTCCTCCTGGAAGCCGCCCCCACACTCCCTGCTGGTCACCCTCCTGGGATATTCTCACAATTCCATCATTCTCCTGCTCTTCTCCTGTTACTGTTTTTGCCTCGAGCACCCCTGGAAATTCCTATAAAATGTCTCTCAGTAGTGCTCTTCTCTTCTAGGATTTTTGTGGGACTTAAAATTCCTCTTCCGAGGCCTCTGGAGACCCCTAAACCTCCCCCATGTAAGAAGTCTGGCAGGCACACTCCCTCTCAGAGTCCTCCTTTGGACTTAGCCCCCTATTTCCCCCTTCTCCGTCAGCTCCGAAGTTTCTGGCCTTGATACCTGCAGCTCTGACCCTCTGACCTCCCTGGACCATCCTTCCCCGTAGCTGTGGCGTCTTCACTGTCATTCAAATGAGGCTCTGTCTCAGTTTGCTGTTCTCCTCTGGGAAACTGGGAACAAGGAATAGAGGAAGGCTGCCCCGAATTTGATGGCAGATGTCTTCAGGATGTATGCAGGACTGCCAGGTCTGTGTCGACTGGAGTTAAAACACCACCGGTGGGTAGGTTTCAGTGTGGTGACTGCTGTTCCTCCTGGACACAGTGACATCTTTGGACATGGGGACATCTGCATTCCATGGCCATCCCTGAGCTCAAGAGGATTAGAAATGAGGTACCTACCATATCTGAATGGGGCCAAAGATCCATTGCAAAGATCGGTTTATCTCAGATTTAGCCCAGGGTCAATTGGAGGAAGGAAGGAGAAATATGGAATCTTCCTCAAAGGGCTAATGTAGAGGGCAGGAGAACAGCCCAAGACTAAAAGGAAATAACCACAGTGTTCACCTAAAAACAGCTGTCAGGCCTGAGTATAAGGCCCTGTGGCCTCTAGGAGTCACAAACAGCCTGAAGGAGCAAAAGGCTGCCATAGAAGACCGTGGAATAAATAGCATGACCGAGATTCATAGGGAACCGGGTCTGCCAGAAACTCAAAGGGAGAGCAAAGAAATAAAATCTGCATGGGAGGCAGTAAAACCCCAAGAGTGACAGAGAGACAAATTGACAAGGTGGTGTGGCGCAAATACTTCACACACCATTCAATACATGCAGAAGGACCTGAGATGAAACAGTTCAGGGGAGAAGCAGGAGACTGGGAGAATAGGCAGGGGCAGTCATTCCCAGGCACGGATGACCTCTGGGGCTTGCACCAAGACCCTTACTGAGACAAGAATGAGGTACAAGCGCTGCCCCTGATTACTCCTGAAGAAGCCTGGACCCACTGGGCATGGAAAGCTTAGGTAAGGAGGCTGAAGAGGTTCAAGCTACCTACCAAGCCAGTGACCACAGAGTCCCCTCTTCAGCATTGGCTTCAAAGACCAGAGAGGTTAGGGAGAAATGTTGGCTGGTTTATTTGTTTTCAATGTGTCCGCTCCTGTCCCTAAGCTACCAGACCACTGGCTCATGAGGACAGCTAGGATAGGATTGGACTTGAAGACACCTTCTTCAGCTAGCCCTCATCGCCGTTCAGGACCTCTACAGTGGGGTGACCTTCTTCCCACAGTCACAGTGACCAGTGACAGGTGAGTCCTGCTGGCCCACTCTGAAAGTTTGTCTTTATTCTTTTCTACCCAAACCACAGCCACTACAAACAGTCCAAGGTCCTAAAAAAAAGCTCAATGTGCCGGGCGGTGGTGGCGCACGCCTTTAATCCCAGCACTTGGGAGGCAGAGCCAGGCGGATCTCTGTGAGTTCGAGGCCAGCCTGGTCTACAGAGCGAGATCCAGGAAAGGCGCAAAGCTACACAGAGAAACCCTGTCTCAAAAAACCAAAAAAAAAAAAAAAAAAAAAAAAAAAAAAAAAAAAAAAAAGCTCAATGTTATGCAGTCGAAAGAACTGTGCTATTTCGTTCTCTTTCACCACTTGGTGACAAAATTATTTCATTGAAGGGGTCTCTGTGCACTAACCTAGGATTTGGGGATGCTATGTCTGCTTGGTCAGCTTGGGGGAACAGGAAGTGGAGAAGGACTAGCTCGGCACACTAAATCTGAACAGTGATTAGGGCCCATGTGTCTGTGTTCTGCAACATGGATGTACATTATTCCCAGCGTCACAAAAGAAACGCTCCACACACACCCCCACCTTTTCTTTCAAGAAAGAAGACTCTGGAGGTGAGGTCAGGATCCAGGACGTCTCAACTCTTGGGGGCTTTGTTGTCTGAGAAGGGGTGAGATCAGGGGAACTGCCCCTCTGGGAATTGCCGTGGGCATACATTTATGGTTCCCGGGTCTTTTCCTTTGTTTGCTCTTCGTGGGAAGGTTGCGGGTGCAGAGGCCCAGGCATGACGCTTCTCTGCCTATCCAGGGAAGGTTGAGGCTTCCCAAGGACTGGCAGAGAGTAGTTCTAAGCCACGCCTCTCTCCCAAGGAAGCTCAGGTTATTAACTGGGAATTCTTTATAGCTGAGCTAGAGGAAGTTTTTGGCTGTAAACTGTCATGCACTGCAGCCTTCCTTGAAAAGGCTGTGGACGAGGTTCTGGGGACAAAGACCAGAAATCAACCACAGAAGAGGGTAAGGGGCAAAATAGCTAAGCATTGAAAGAGTTGCTTCTAGCCCAGAGTGTAGATTTCACTGCTCACGGTAGAAAAAGTAACATTTATTTGCCTCCTCCCACTTGGAGAATGGATCCAGGGCCATCTTCCACGAGCTTCGTGGAAGTTGGAGAAAATCCACCCGTAAACAACCACATTCCCAGGGCCGGTTTCGCCTTCACGCCCGAGGTTAGAGATCTTCCGTCACTTTCGGACCCACCCTCCGTCTTCAAGTCCCTTCCACCCAGGCCCTTTATTCCGAGTACCCGGACTCCTGCAAACCCATAACACAAGCTGGCTGGTGGGCGTTACGGGAGGGTCGGGGTTGAGTGCAAATGAGGGCCTTTTGGCGTCTCCGCAGAAGGAACGTCTCCCTCGGGTCAGCCCGAAATTAATTTCTTTACATCCTAGACTACAAAAGAGCAAATAAGCGGGATAGCTTCTCGCAGCTCCCGTAGTCAGTTAGAAAAGGGCCGAGGAAAGTAGCCTGGGACGTATTCCCATCCCACTCCCGGAGCATCTTCCTCGGCGGTTGGCTCTCGGAAAACCCTCTCTCCCAGGAGGAGGAGGCAGGTAGAACCCGGAGCCGGGGTCTGGCTTACTCCGCAACCCCGACCCCAAAGACTTCCCAAGGAGACTCAAGAGAGGCACAGAACTTTCAGAAGTGGGTGCCCCACCTGATGCAGGGGCCTCTTCCAAGGAGCTTCCGGGTGGAGTGCGCGTGTGGAAGATGGGGAATCGGAGGCTAGGACCCAGGCCCTCGTTAAAGAGCTGGGAGCGATCTCTGGCTTCCTTCCCGCTTCCTGGGCTCCCGTTTTAGAGGAATGTTATTGTTTAAAGAGACCCCATTGAACTATTTCCTGCTCTTTGTCACCTTCCCCTCGCTCTCCGGCAGAGGTTCTCACCGAGAGGTAATAAACCAACTGCTGCCCACACCGCTTGGCGCGGAGGCGGGTAGGGAAACGCACCCAGCGTGCGTTCCAACAATCCCCGGGGCAAAGAGACCAGGGAATCCCGGGGCCACACTCGGTGCAGGAGCAGCCACCGTCACCAAAGTCCAGCTTTTATGTGGGACGCGAGAACATCTCCTACTAGGGTCGCTATCTGGACAGATCCGCACTGGGCTTCCCTCTCTGCGCAGGTGAAGAAGGTCTTGGGGAACCCGGACGCCGAGGTGGGAGTTAGTGGCAGTCCATGGGGCGAGGGGACGTGTCCTGAAGCTGCTGCACCTCTGGGAGCTGAGGCTTCGGAGAGGTCAGGGAGACCCGAGAGACGCAGATCCGCCGTAGTCCCGCGCAGGTGCGCGCAGCGTGGACACTCCGTGGGGCACAGCCGCAGGCGCTGCAGTGCGCTCGGAGAGCGCGGTGTGAGCGTGGGAGTGGAGAGCTTAGCAGTTGCTCTGGGAGCGGCGGGCTTGGGTGGCTTCGGCCCTGCTCCTTACCCTCCCCCCCCCCAGGGTCCGCCCCGCCGCTTTGATGGAGGTGCAAACATTTGGGGAGGGCGGGGGTGTCGGGACTGCGCCCGACGCTTTCCTTACAGGAAGCGCGCGCGGGAGCCCATTGTTGGCCCCTGGCCTCCGGGCCCGCCCGGCGGGTCTGATATGGCCGCGCACCGCCAATGGGCAGCGGCTAGGTACTTCAAAGGGTGTCCCGCCCAATCCGCCGCGCCCCCTGCGAGGCCACTTCGGCTGTATTTATGGGGAGGGGACCCATTTTCTCTCCCCCAGAGACTTACTCTTGTCGCGACTTGCGGGAGTTCAAGTGGAACCACGGCTCCCTAGCCCCTCTCCCCTCTCCCCGCCCCCTTCCCCCCACATCCCAGTCCTGGCCCTCCTTTGGCGAACGTGCTGGGACCCAGGTGTGGTCTCTGGGCTCCGCGAGTGACCCCCTTTTTTCTTGGAACAGCCGTGGCGGGAGAAGTGAAGGTGGCTCTTGGGTAGGCAGTCAAGACTCTGGGGCGGTGGAGAGGGCGGCGGGAGGATGAGCTCCCCGGGCACAGAGAGCGCAGGGAAGAGCCTGCAGTACCGAGTGGACCACCTGCTCAGCGCCGTGGAGAGCGAGCTGCAGGCGGGCAGCGAGAAGGGCGACCCCACGGAGCGCGAGCTGCGCGTGGGCCTGGAGGAGGGCGAGCTGTGGCTGCGCTTCAAGGAGCTGACGAACGAGATGATTGTGACCAAGAACGGCAGGTAGGTGCGTGCTGCGGGTCTGCAGGCTGGGGCACGGAGAGGGCCTCTCGGGGGGGTGGAGCGCCTTCTCTCCGCCTAAGGCCGACTGTCGGTCTCTTCCCGCTTGACTGCCGCAGGGATTCCTAACCTTAGTTCCTCCAGGACTTTCACTGACTGAAACCTGGGGAGGAGGTATTCGAACTCTAGGGCCCCTAGGTCTACACTAGTGTGGCCAGGCTGGCCTGTGTTTCTTGGCCAGGTTTGTCCCTCTGCTGTCTCAAGAGACCGTGGGCTTAGTGGGGAGATGGATTTGGTGCCAGAACTGAGAAAGCTCGGGAAGAGAAGCTTGTGAGGCCTGTTGCCGGGGCCCTTCTTTGACTGGTAGTGAACACTTTGTGCCAGGCTTTCCTCTCTCCGACCGGATGGGTCAGTTTCGGGGTCCTCCTGCTGTGACCTGTCTTTTCCAGGAGGATGTTCCCGGTGCTGAAGGTGAACGTGTCGGGTCTGGACCCCAATGCCATGTACTCCTTCTTGCTGGACTTCGTGGCGGCTGACAATCACCGCTGGAAGTACGTGAATGGGGAGTGGGTACCTGGGGGCAAGCCAGAGCCTCAGGCGCCCAGCTGCGTCTACATCCACCCAGACTCGCCCAACTTCGGGGCCCACTGGATGAAGGCGCCGGTGTCTTTCAGCAAAGTCAAACTCACCAACAAGCTCAACGGAGGAGGGCAGGTAGGGTGTGCCGGGGTGTGCTGGAGACCGCTGCGCCCCAGCCCAGGGGGCTGAGGGCTGCACCTCCCCGGCTGGGAGCCTGGAAGCGCTCCCTCAGCTTCTGTCAGCTTCACAGAAGCCAGCACAGGCTTCCCCAATTAAATCTTTAGTACTGTTTATATTAAGCTGATAAGGGTCACACCGAGGCCTGAAGAAGGGAGCTGGGAGTCCTCACTCAACCTGGAAGGCTCGGTGCAGTCAGGGCTGCCTCTTGGGAAACCACTCAGGCCCTGTCTCTCTCTCCTAGCGCTGTGGACAGGTGGGCTTTGACTTGGAATCCTCGGTCATCTTAAAGTCAAAAGAGAACACCGCGGGAAGTCTTGCACAAGCGTGTACACTCCACTCTTCTCAAAAGCCTTTTATTGGAGCCTGTTCCTAGAAAACTCACTCCAAGTTGCCATCAAGCCAGGCATTTAAAGTCGTCTGTGGCCTTATTCTGGCAGGGTTTAATAGTGCGTAGCACCTCACATTCTAGTTTCAGACCAGCTGTGGGAAGCAGAGGTGTAAAACGCCAAGAAACACCACCCACAGACCCCATGCCCTCCATACTACAGGCAATTTCCTGGTGACTTTTGTAGCTCAATCCATTTCTCACTGAGCAGTTCCTGTGGAAGCTGTGGTGTTAAGGCAGATGCTGGTCTCCACTCTTGCTCCTTATCTCCTGCAGATCATGTTGAACTCCTTGCATAAGTACGAGCCTCGGATTCACATTGTGAGAGTTGGGGGCCCACAGCGCATGATCACCAGCCACTGCTTTCCAGAGACCCAGTTCATAGCTGTGACTGCCTACCAGAACGAGGAGGTGAGGCTCTGGGAAGGCAGAGGGTCTTCTCAGGGTGCTCTCCATGCATATAGGATTGGGGACTGTATTCACAGTGCTGAATACAGGCGGAGTTGGGTTCAGGTTTACCACTTCTGTGGTAAGAGGGAAAAAGTTTAAAATAACTCATTCAAAATAAAGACTGATTCAATTTGAATATTTCAACTCGTTTCTATTCTTTCTCAATTTCTCTTTTCCTTCTTTGGTAGTGTGTCCCCCCCATCCCCCACTTGTTTCAGGGTCTTGCTATGTATCCCTGGTTATCCTTATATTCACAGCAGTCCTCCTGCCTCAGCATTCTGATCCTTGGGCTTACAGGCCTATGATACTTCTTTTTCCTCGTTAAATCCTCTGGTAACCAGCACTGTATTAATAAATACACTTTCTTCTTTTTCAGATCACAGCCCTTAAAATTAAATACAATCCATTTGCAAAAGCCTTCCTTGATGCAAAAGAAAGGTGAGAGAAATCTAATCCCACTCCTGGGACAAAGGGCCACATAGAAAGAAAGCGACACGCTGTCTCCAGGCAGTTCTCCCTTTTGACCATTCTGATTTTTTTTTCCCCCAGAAACGACCACAAAGATGTGACGGAGGAACCCGGGGACTGCCAGCAGCCGGGGTTTTCCCAATGTACGGTTTGTTGCATTCTCCATGTCCCTCTGGCTTGTTTCAGTTCTAAGATTCACTAAAACCAGAGCCCAAAGGGAAGCTGAGGGCTTTCTGGGAATGGTGGGGTAGCAGGATGGCCCCTCTTTGTGCCCCAGGCAGGTGCCCTTTGCTTTGGAGGCTGCCGGACCATCTTGGGCTTGAGACACTGGCCAGCCAAAGAGCTCTGGATTTGTTTTGTTTTGTTTTGCAGTGGTCAGGGGTAGAGTGGACTTCTGGGTTAGACTTGGGTATGATGAGAATTCAGCTTGTCATATCCCCTTGGAGATGATCTCCATTCTTGTTAGTGACTGGAAACTGAATGGCTGTCTTTGGACACACACATGAGACACCTTCCTGCTCAGTCCCCTTGGCTCCTGATTTTGGGAGCTTGTAAGGTGGCTAGTTCTTTCAGAATTCCTTTAGGAGTTCTCTTAGCCAGAATGAGGGGCGCAGATCTGTGCAGACACACCTGGGGAGAGAGAAGGCCTGGCCTCCCCCTTCTTTCCAAGAAGGGATCTGCAAATATCGAGGAAGTCGCTGCTGAGGGGCAGAAGGGTCCTGCTTGCAGGGTCACTTCTGTGGATGCCAAAACTAGCCTGGCACTCTGCCCTGAAACTAGAACCAGCTATTCTAAACTGCTGTTTTAACACCGTCTTCTATAAATTCGACAAATGAATTTAACAAACAGGACCCACACTGTGGCTTATCAGTAATCACTTGAGAGCAGATCAGGGCGAAATGGGCAAGAGATGGACTGTGTATGGGGGTCACACAGGACGGTGTGGGCACGTGTGTGTTCCTCCATCTTTGAAGCGTTATCTAAAGAACTGTCTTGTTTGGAAATTGTGTCATGGAGGGCTCCTTCTGCTTAATTAAAACAAAACTATAAAAACTATGGGAAAACATTAGTTTTAGTGGATCTAGCTGTCTGGGAGAGGAGATGTAGTGGGGAGAATGTGGGGAGGCCTGGGGGAGTCGAAACAGAAGGGACCAAATAGGAAATGAATCCACTAGCTGTTTCTGAGGCAGGAGCATGACTGTGGACCTCAGATGAGGAGGAGCAGCCCGGAGCAGTCTGGGTCCTACCTGTGACCCACTGCCTTCCTCTTGTCTTCATACTGCATCCTTTGAACAAGTATCTTATTCTGCTCAGCTGGTAGAAAGCTCCTTGCCATCAGAACAGAAATCCCGCCAAGGCTGGGGGAGAGGTCTCAGGTGTAAACCTTTAAGACAGCTGTGGCCTCAGCTCAGGCCCTCAGAGCTCGGCATCCAAGGCTCATAGTGTGGAGCTCTCCACTCTGATATTTTGAGGTTAGGTTGCACTGAGGGGTGGGACAGTGGATTCTTCACTTCCAAGGACTCATGGGTTAGAGCTAGGACAGTCTCAAGCAAGGGTCCATTACTCAGCATGCTTTTCTCACAGCAGGGGGGTGGCTTGTTCCTGGCACCAGCACCCTCTGTCCACCTGCCAGCTCCCACCCTCAGTTTGGAGGCTCGCTCCCTCTCCCCTCCACACATGGCTGTGAGAGGTACCCAGCTTTGAGGAATCACCGCTCATCACCTTACCCCAGCCCATATGCTCATCGGAACAATTCTCCAAGTAGGTTCTGTCTGGTGGCTGGGGTGGGTGTGGGAGGACCCCTCTGGGGAGCTATTTCTACAGCGGTGCAGAATAGGGAACCCAGCTCCCTATTCTTGGTCAGGATGGTCGTTTACCAGAAGTTCCAACGGAGGCTTTCAGTCTCCATGTTCAGATCACGCTGTAGGTTTTTAAAATGACTGCTCTCTGGGCCTTTTCACTGAGCTTTAGTTTAGATGTTGAACTTCTCTAAAGTGACCATGTTGGATTAGCCAGGTGCAAGCCTTTCTGACTAGACCAAAGATTCTTGAGGTGTAGAGCCCAGGCCCTCAGTGTCACCTGAGAACCAGCCACAGTTCAGGTCCACCCAGACCCAGAAGCTGGAGGGTGTGGTGGTCCTCTCGACATCAGGACCAACTTCCCTGATTCAGCTCCAGGACAGCCAGAGACCTCTGGCAGGTTCTCTAATGTGGTCTGCTCAGTCAGAACTTTGTCTGCTCCAAAAGGAGGGGAAAATGGCTGAAGAACACCATAAAACAATTAAGCAATTACAGCGGATTCAAAATGAAAGGCAACAGTTCTGGAGACTTGTTCAGCCAGAGGCTAGCCTCTGAGGTGGGGAGATCGAATTTTTAATTTGGTCAACCCTTAGGGAATAGCCCTCCCCCCATGGAAAAGGTGAACTAAGCAGCAGATGTTTTTTATTTACTTTTTAAATGAAGTATTCTAGGTGTTGCTCAGTGGCTCAGCACTTACTTGCCTAGCATTTGAAAGGCTCTGAATCTGATCCCCAATGCCGCAAAATAGTAAATAAATACCATAAAAATAACAAGAAAGATAAGCAATACAAGTGTCTGCAGGAGACAGCTTTGGTTAACTGGGATATATTTCCTTTTTTTTTTTTTTTGGTTTTTCGAGACAGGGTTTCTCTGTGTAGCTTTGCGCCTTTCCTGGAACTCACTTGGTAGCCCAGGCTGGCCTCGAACTCACAGAGATCTGCCGGCCTCTGCCTCCCGAGTGCTGGGATTAAAGGCGTGCGCCACCACCGCCTGACTTGATATATTTCCAAATAGTTCAAATAAGAAACAATAAGTATTGCCCTGCTGGCTACTTAAATGGCGTACTCTCATCTAATACCCCTGCAGCCTTTGTTGGTTCAGCTGTTATTATCATTTTGTTGCGTTTTATTCCTTTTTGGAGACCTGTCAGGTAACTCCCCTCTCTACACCCCTCAGCCTATGCCGACAACTCATCTGCGTGCTTATCCATGCTGCAATCCCACGACAACTGGTCTAGCCTGGGAGTGCCTGGCCACACCAGCATGCTGCCCATGAGTCATAGCACCAGCCCACCTACTGGCTCTAGGTATGTATGGGGAGTGAGACAAGCGCTCCTGGGGCTTCTTTCTGCTGGTTCCGTTTCTATTGGCCTTTTCCCTTATTCTGCCTCAAGTCCCACCTGTGGTGGTTGGGTTTGTGTTTGCAATTAAACTAAACTGGGACCAGGGAGGCTTGGTCCCAGGACTGTCTGGTTCTGATTACCTGCATTTTTTTCCAGTGGTCTGCTGTGCTTATCCAAACCAGGGTTCAGCCTTACCACGGCTCTTAACATGTGCTGTGATGAACAGTCCTCTAATTTATCTGAGCCTCAGTTTCTCCATATGTAAAAAGATGCTAAATAGCCCCAGCCTCAGGCTGTTTCTCTCAGGCTGATGGGGTTGGCACATGTGGGTTAAAGTAATATTGCAGAACCTTTATTCAGTTGAGGCAATACATTGCTTGGCTTTTCTGTGGATCAAGGAGTAAACGTCCTTAATAGCATGCTGGGAAACAGGCACAGCATGGAGACTGTTAGAGTGACCAGTGAGTTCTATAATAGGAAGGCTCAAAAACACCCAGCGAAGCTGGTAATACATCCCCTTCAGGGTTATTAATCCTCCACAGTACTGAGGTAAGAGCAAAGATAGATGCCAACGCCGATTCTCCAGTGAGGAAACGCGCCCAAAGACATTAATTCTGGGACAGTGGTGCTGATAAGCTGCTACTTCATAAAGGAGTGAGCCTGACTTCATGTGACTTTGACCTCGAAGGTGTACCTGATGGTCTAAAGCAGTGGTTCTCAACCTTCCTAACACTTTAACCCCTTTAATACAGGTCCTCATGTTGTGGTGACCCCCAACCCATAAAATAATTTCATTGCTACTTCATAACTGTAATTTTGCTACTGTTATGAATCGTAAGCAAATATCTGATATGTGGGATATTTGATATGCAACATCCAAAGGGGTTGTGACCCATAGGTTGAGAACCACTGGTCTAGAACATCAAATGTTTACCTAAGGTCTTAGCTGTGGAGTTTAGGATATAGATCTTTACTGAAAAGTGTTTTTTGGACATGGAGTTCCAGTATGCTGCCCAGGCTGGCCTTAAACTCACTATCCAGTCTAGAGCTCAAGGTCTTGATTCTCCTGCCTCGGCCTCCTGACTTGTTGGGGGTTATAGGCAGGTATCACTACATCCACCTTTATCTGCTCTTAAAACAAACACACACACCTAGGATGGCAAACTTGTCCATGGCCTTGAGGACACTGTTAAGAAGCTAGATGAGCCAGGCGGTGGTGGCACACACCTTTAATCCCAGCACTCGGGAGGCAGAGGCAGGTGGATCTCTGTGAGTTCGAGGCCAGCCTGGGCTACAGAGTGAGATCCAGGACAGGCTCCAAAACTACACAGAGAAACCCTGTCTTGAAAAACCAAAAAAAGAAGCTAGATGATCTGCCAGCAGCGAGTGCTGACCACTCATCCCAATTTGGTGTCTCCATCTGAAACTCATACCTGTAAAAAAACAAAATCAGAAACAATCCTCCTTAATTTACCCAGGCTTGCTCTCAAGTTCAAATGCTTTGAGGTAGGTATACGGGATGGCATGTTAAATAATGGCAGTCTTATGTCAGTTCATGCTGTGTGTTTATGGAAGAGCTCTAAGGAAGGTTTCTCAAACAATTTTATTATAGTTTAATGAAATTCATTTCTAGGGTGTAGGCCAGAGGGTTTAATACATTTCCGCTTCCTCATTTGATAGATGAGGAGACAGCCTGAAAAGCAGTCGTGGGGCCAGCTAGAGAGCAGAGCTGGTCTCAAGCCCAGCTCTGGGGGCCCTTGCATGTTGGCCCATGTCGACGTTGCTAGCACACTATCCACTGGATGAGATGGGGTCAGCATTCTGAGGAATGCGTCTTCCGTGAATTCAGGGGTTGTTGCAGCGGGTTGGGAACATTAGTTAACAAAATAGGCACACAGCTCTGAGCCTTGTTGCTCAGTACAAACTCTTGCCGGGAGTCTGTCTCAGCGGAACCCAGCCCACGAATGTCCACCGCGCTTAGGCACACTTTCCTTTTAGTTTGCTTCGTATTTGATTTTCTTAATACAGTAGCTTCTGGACACGTGGTAGTAGCGGAAAAGCCAGGTACAAAGCCTTGTGATGATGCAATTACTGACAACAATGTTCTGAGCACTAGTCCCTCCCCTCCACCTCGCCCCCATGTAGCTCCTTTGGAGCCTCTTCCCAGCCCCTTGACGTCTATTTTCTTCATTTCAGCCAGTACCCCAGCCTGTGGTCTGTGAGCAACGGCACCATCACCCCAGGCTCCCAGACAGCTGGGGTGTCCAACGGGCTGGGAACCCAGCTCTTTCGAGGCTCCCCTGCACATTATGCACCCCTGACGCACACGGTCTCAGCCGCCACTTCCTCTGGCTCCCCAATGTATGAAGGGGCTGCTACAGTCACAGACATTTCTGACAGCCAGTACGACACGGCCCAAAGCCTCCTCATAGCCTCGTGGACACCCGTGTCACCTCCGTCCATGTGAATTGAACTCTTCTCCTCCATGTGCTAAGACTTGTAACAACCAGTGTCAATTGGATCGTCTGCTAGGCACAGCATGGCAGGTTCTTGGGACAAGGGAAAGAAATAAAAGCTTGCTACTAACTCCATTTTCAAGTAAGAGGAACAGTCCATGTCCTGTTGATCATGTTTCACAGCCTCTTGCTTGACACCTATGGTAGTGATGTATGTCCTACATGTGAAGCCAGGTACAGAGATGAGGCTATGGTCCAGTTTCCTGTGATTGGCAGTCAGAATTCTTTGCCAGCATCCTATACCTTGTGTTTGTCTCTCCTGCAACATGTAGGTGACTCTGATATACCGGAATTTGCCCACTCCCCTGCCCTACTTTAGCGAGACACAAGGCACACTTCTAATGCCCTTCCTTGTTGCTTTAGAGTAGTTAACTTTGAGGACAGAGACAGATCATAGCCAGTGGTTTGTAACCGAACTGGAAACTACTCCGTCCTCTGGAAGATGTCTACTTTAAGCACATGTAGCTTTTTGTGTTGTGAAGGCAACTGTGTAATACTTTTCTGTTGACAAAGTAGCTAAAGACAATCCGCAGAAAGTTTTTTTTTTTCTGCACAATAAAGGTAATATGCAGCACATGGTCCTTGCAGTTATTATGTGCAAGTCTTCTTCTGGGAAAGGCTTTCTCCCCAAGGTGTATTTCAGTCTGTTCTGAACTTTAATGTTGTAGCTACAAATCAGTTGCAGAACCGGAGGGATGAATTTTAGGTACCTATGCAACCTTAACGGCTAAAAAAGGTAAGATGAAGTAAGTTTCAATAATATTAAATCATAGATGAACGTGCATGGCAAAATTGAAACATGCCAATGTCATAAAAATACAGGATATCTACCTGATATAAGGGAGAGCATAAAATGAGTTAATAGTTGATTAATGTTACATATATAGTTGCCATAGGGACCTGACTGCTCTGTCTTTTACAGTCATTGCCTTTTTTCCCATCAGTGGTAAGATTCTGTAAGGATCTGGGGGTAATTTCTCCATCTAGTGGCAGAATCCTTAGTGTGACCCTGGTTTAACCCAAATCTCTGCTTTCTTAAAGTTGCAGATGGCCAGCTTGGTCACCAGTAAAGCAGGAGTCCTGCTTGGAGACTGTGCACATTAAGTTTGAAGTGGGAAGATGCTGAGGGGTAAGGGCTGGAGGAGGGGCTGCAGCGCTGCCTCCTTCAGACCACATGTTGAGGAGGTGAAGTGATTGCTTTCTAGGATTTAAGTAGAAACAACTGCACTGCTGGTGTAATTTATGCCCAGTTTCCGAGAGGACTGTGCTTGCCCCCTTCCTGAAGAACTCACGTTTGATTGGATTAGTTGACAGGTGTTAGGCAAGTAGTTTCTGAATTAATCCGCTGCCAGAGTTGGGAAATAAACCAATTGTTTGACTGTGGGTCCTCACCAGAGCAAGTGCTAAGATTCTAGGCCAGGGCTGAGGGACATTTGAGGTGGAGGCCAGGTACCACCAGCAGGTGTCACTTTGTGGTGACTCACACCCTGTGATCATGGACAGGTGGATGGAGTGTGGTCTTGTGTTTCAGGACCTTCACTACCCCAGTGGTGTCTATGCTGGGGCTGAAGAGCCTGCAGGTCATCCCTAGGGATGTCTTCACCTTGTTGTTGAGGCTGGGGAAACTGAGCCCCGTATCCCTTCTCTCATGAGCCTGTGTCGTAGGGGGACAACACATGGACAGTGGCTGGTTCTTGACCTGCTTGACTTTCTAAAAGTATTCAGATTTCAAATTAGAGTAGTATTTTAATAATCCAGTCTTTCTGGTGATGAAGTGGGAACAGAAGGGGCCATAAAATGGAAAGAACCTGGATTTGAGTTCAGTCTTCCCTCATCCACAGGGGATGTGATTTGAGATCTGTCAGAAGACTGAAACCATGGGTGGTACATGTGTGTACAGTTTTCCCCATCCATCATCCATCCATCTATCTACCCATCTGTCCATACACCCACCCACCTACCCACCCACCTATCCACCCACCCATCCATCCATCATCCATCCATCTATCTACCCATCTGTCCATACACCCACCCATCCATCCACCCACCCATCCATCCATCATCCATCCATCTATCTACCCATCTGTCCATACACCCACCCATCCATCCACCCACCCATCCATCCACCCACCTATCCATCCATCCATCCATACATCCATCCATCCATCCATCCATACATCCACCTGTCCATCCATCCATCTACCCATTCATCCATCCATCCATCCATCCATCCATCCATCCATCCATCCATCCATCATCCACCCACCCACCCATCCATCATCCATCCATCATCCATCCATCTACCCATCTGTCCATCCACCCACCCATCCGCCCATCCACCTGTCCATCCATCCACCCACTCATCCATCCAACCAGCCATCCATCCAACCATCTATCCATCCATCCATCCATCCATCCATACATCCATCCATCCAAGTGACAGCTCTTAATTTATGAACTAGGCACTGCAGGAGATTAGCAAATACAATAATAAAATTGAGCAGTTATTACAGTATATTATGATAAAGTCACCATCAACTACATTTGCTTTATTGAGCAATGATTACTTAGTCACAAGCACTGTGATACTGTGACAAGTAACTCTGATGTCTACATAGATGTGGAAGAGGGTTGGGGTGTCAGAGGGGTTGGGGTGTCAGAGGGTTGGGGTGGAAGTGTGGATACAGTGGACAGAAGGAAAATTGAACCAGGCACAATGGAGCAGGCTGGTATAAGATTGTTCTTTTTATTTTTTAATTTACTTTGATGAGTATGAGTGCTTCGTCTGCGTGTTTGTCTGTACACCATGTGTGTCTGTACGCACAGAGGCCCGAAGAGAGGATCACATCTGTAACTGGAGTTGCAGCTGGTTGTGAGCCACCAGGTGGGTGCTGGGCACTGAATCCAGGTCCTCTGTAAGGGCAGCCAGTGCTCTGCCATCTCTACAGCCCCCCCCCCCCACCCCTGTGCAAGATTTTAATCACGTTACTCCAAGTATCAGACAATTTAAAACCTAGTAGATGGTTTATTTCTGAAAATTTTCACTGACTATTTTAAGCTAGGGTTGACTTGGGCAGGAAGGAGCCTCGGTGACTCTGGGAGGAGTGTACTGTGTTCGTTCTCCTCACTTGGTGGGGACCCGAGGAAGTTAGGTTTCTACTTCCAAACTTCAGGTTTTCCACACGTGACAGCAGAGAAAGTACTTAGTATGCCTGTGAGAAACAAGAAAGGGATCTGGAGAGTGCACAGAAGGCCAGATGTGTGTGAGACCAGGACAACTGAGCCCAGTTCTGTTGAGGGAGTCTGGGGAGAAGACGCTGCTGCGTGGACTCTCAGACCATGCAAGCCTTCTGAAAGAGAGCTACCCACAAGACACTTGACAAACTGAGCTGCCCACAAAATGCCAAGACTCATGAGGGTGCTGGGAATTGAACCTTGTATGGTGACCTACAAGAGCAGCAAGTATTCCTAACCACTGAGCCATCCTTCTAGTCCCCAAACTTGATTCTAAAGCCAAGGAAAACAAATTAATGACATTTATTAGCATGGTTAGAAAATTTCTTGAAAACAAGTCAAATGGAAGCAAATGTAAATCAGCACACTGTGAGTGGGGTGTTGAATGCAGGGGAGCAGGGCTGGATGGGTCCTCTCTGCACAAGGATGACAGGAGATGCTTCATCTGGTAGAATGCTTTCTCTGTTGAAAGGTTGAACAGAATCATTTTTTTCAGATCCTTATGTCCAAACATGCTTTCCCTACCTGAATGGTCCTGAGGTGGGGTTATTCCCACGCGTCCCTAACATCTCCTTGAGAAGGAACAGCCTCCTCTTAGCGACTCCAGGGCGCTTTCCTGGGGTAGAATAAACAGTTTCCAACAGCAACCACATGGATGTTTTACAATTCTACTGCCAGCTCAAGAAACAGCTGAGTTGCTATTTATCAAACTGCAGAGTGTTGGTGGCTGAACTTCAAATCATTCCCATGTGGCCTGTTCCAGCAAGGAGCCCTGGTCTGTCTGTCTGTTCCGTCCATCCGTCCGTCCGTCCGTCTGTCCGTGTGTGTGTGTGTGTCTCCCCTCTCCCCCCTCTCTCCAGGCACTCTCCTTTCAAATGAATTCGCATTATTTTGTTTTGGTTTTTTGAGACAGGGTTTCTTTGTGTAGTTCTGGAACTCTGTAGACCAGGCTGGCCTTGAACTCAGAGAGGCTGCACCACCATTGCCTGGTTGTGAATTTGCATTTTTATACCCTGAGGCAGCTTCTTCTTCGTCTTCTTCTTCTCCTCCTCCTCCTCCTTAACAATTATTTATATGTATGAGTACTCTATCTCATGTATAACTTTCTACCAGAAGAGGGCATCAGACAGAAGAGGCAACAGATCCCACTATAGATGGTTGTGAGCCACTGTGTGGTTGCTGGGAGTTGAACTCAGGACCTCTAGAAGAGCAGTCAGTACTCTTAACCACTGAGCCATCTCTCCAGCCCCTACTTTTGAGACTTGATGGGAACTGCTCCTCTCAATGATATCATTAATCTTTTTTTTTGAAACAATTCTAATTACTTTTCTGTAGTCTTGATAACTCCTGTTTTCAAATCCTTTTGCTCATCTTTTTCCTCTTGATTCTCATTATAAACATGTCTAAAAGCAGCCAGCAGTAGTTGTGCCCAGACTAAATGCTCTGCTGTCTTGAAACTTACTCTACCACAAATTAATCAGTTGTTTTGAGCCTCATTTTTAGGACATAGGTACAATATAGCTGGATTCTGTATCAGGTTGTCATGTGAACAGCCTCTAGTACAACTTACAATAGGGTGTTGTTGCATCTGAAACCTCCTGGGCACAGTTCTACACATTAATATTGGTGGTCTCATCACCCAGACTCCCACCAGAATTTATCATTAAACTTTGCTTTCAACCTTCCATGGCTGTTCCAACCTGCATCTCCCAAGTCTTCCACGTTCTTCTCACAAGCAATTCCCAAAGGTCCACAGAGCATGCATTTAGGCTTATCATAACAACACCACCACTTTTACTGGCAAGAACTTCCTGTATTAGTTACTTGTTGCCATGACAAAATATCTGACAGAAATTACTTAATAGCGAAAAGGCTCATTTTGGATCATTGTTTCTGAGTTCATCATGATGGGGAAAGCACACTGGCTTGAGTGTTTCCACACAAGCTGGTAGGGTGTGAGGTAGAGCTATTCATGGGACAGTAGGCAGGATAGAGTGCAAGCTGGAACCAGGCGGCTTTAACCATGAGAAATTCACCTCTACTGGCCTATTCCTAGCAGCCAAACCCCATGTCTTTTCAACTGCCTGAAATTTCACTACCCACTGGGGGACAAGCATTTAAAAGATGAGCCTATAACGACACCTCAGATCCAAATCATAATAGTGATGGGGTGTACGTGTGTGTCCATATGTGTGTGTGTGTGTGTGTGTGTGTGTGTGTGTGTGTGTGTTTGTGTGTACATATGGGAACCATAGTTCTAGGTTGTTTGTCTTAAACCCATCACAAGCAAACTCTAAGAAGTTGTAAGAGGCCGAGCAAGCTGAATATACATTCTTGAAGTGTC